GTGCCGCGATGGGAAAAAGTTTGGGAACCGCTGATACAGACATAAAGTTAACAATTTAGTTTACTATCTAAGAGGTTATGTTTTATTATCTTATCAAAATCCGTTTAATCATCATTCATTATAGAATATCGAATATCAGATATAACTATTGATAATTATTGAGATTTGAGACACCTTAAGGCTAAAACAGTCAATAAAACGTTTTAATGTTAATATTATTAGTTAATAATTTAATAATTCTCTGTTCCTTGATCAAATTAAACAATATTAAAATTAAACCATTAGATAACTTTTTATTTCATGTGTTCCCTGTGCCGGATGTTCGGGAAATTCCGGTTTCAGTGATTAGAGAAGTTACACCATTTTAACAATTATTGTTAATTGTTATACCTATTATACTATTTATTTTATAACATGTACCTAATAATTCTTTGTTAATTAGTTATTGTTTTATTTTAAAATATTGATTTAAAGTGTTACGTTTTCAATTCTAATCATAAAATATCAATAACATCAAAATATATTAAGTGAGTAAAATATAAAATAAATAGGTACTAAATTAATGGTATGTGATGATTTGAGAATGTCTGGCAATAGTAATTTTTAAAATTTGTTATAAAATCAAAAAAAGTTTTTTGTTATTTATAGACATTTGTTACTACCTAGCAATTTTTTTTCTATAATAATTATTATTAATAAAAAATGTTTTGTTTATAGCCTGACAATTCAATATTAAGATGTAATTTTAGGTAAATATCTGAAATTATTGAAAATAAATTGTCACAATTTATTGTTATAGCATTCTAAATTCTAATTGGTCGAAACCATGAACATTTTAAAATCAYTTTTTACCTAAAAATATATTTAATATCAATTTTTTTTAGCTTTATTGAAAACTGATAAAAGGCTTCTCATATGTTGTTAATAATAAAACCAATAAATCTAATAACAAATATTATATAATATATAAACATAATTTTTTTACCATAGAAATTATGAATATACATTTGAATAAGTTAGGTAGCTGGTAGGTACTTATAAAAGAACGAAAAACTAGACTTCAAACTATTATATATTTTGTAAACACAATGACTTTCAAAAAATTTATATAATTTTATGTTATTAGATTTATTGGTTTTATTATAACAAATATTATATAATATATAAACATAATTTTTTTACCATAGAAATTATGAATATACATTTGAATAAGTTAGGTAGCTGGTAGGTACTTATAAAAGAACGAAAAACTAGACTTCAAACTATTATATATTTTGTAAACACAATGACTTTCAAAAAATTTATATAATTTTATGTTATTACTTTATATTCTGGACCTATTGAAACTGTTCTATTGGTATTTGCTTAAGAGTTAATAACATTAATGTATAAATATATAATATAATGGAACTTGTGCGTTATCGCGCCTACCGCGTGCCACATATGCGTTATCGCGACTACCTCATATTATAGGTTATTGCGAGGCCGTTTTATATGCAATTCTATTTTTTCCAGTGTCGTTACAATCGCACTTATYGCAATTTTTATAGACTAGCTGAGTAACTTTTAGGACACTTAGAAATTTAGTTAAAACCACGCTGTCAAGTGAAAGACTTTGGGGATCGGCGAAATGGAGAAACAAACGTCATAGAGGTACAGCTCGACACCATTTAGAATCTTACTTGGCTAAGTTTATGTGGAGGAATACTTATCATAATGAAGATAAGTWCAAAGTTTTACTTAATAGTATTGCAAATCATTGGCCACCACAAATTGACTTTTAAATTTTATATTTTATAAATTTTACTCTTAATTGTTGGCGTATAAATTTGACATATTTTATTTTATTAGATTTGACATATTATTATTAAACTTTATAATTATTATCATATTATCAATAAATACATTGACATTAGCTTTGGGTAGTTTTGTATTATTATAAACGTATTAAAAATATGYTGTGTTCGAAATCAAGGTAGTCGCGATAATGCACAAGTGAAATCAAGGTAGTCGTGACGAGTCGGCGGTAGTTGCGATAACGCACAAGTACCAATATAATAATTACATACAATTATAATAATAATATATCAATACGAATAGTGAATACAATGTTTTCAGCAAAAATAAATTCAACCTAACATATTATAAATAGTGAAATAAATTACTCTAACCACAGTATAAATATTATATTAAGTAGGCCTGCTTAATAATTTAAGCGACATACCATCTTCAATCAGAATATTTCTTACAATGATTTATCATTAAATTCAAATTTGATGTACACATTCTCTGTTATTATTTACCTATTATTTTTATTATTTACTTTAGAAATGAATTCACTTTCATCTGAGTTTTCATCACTTCTGTCAAATGCACTTACCAGTCTAGGACACGAGCGACTATTCAACATTGCTTTTGTATTCACCGTTGAAACTGGATTTATTCCGACTTCTTTGGCAGAACATTTTTTTTCAACTAATTCAAATATTCAATTAGCTAAAATGGTAAACACTCAACCACTAAATTCATATTGGCATAAAAATCATAATATTTTTCATGCTGAACTAGTAATGTCTAATCAATTATGCCATTTAACTGGTGTTCCTAACAATGATTCATTAATTATAACATTAAGTTATTTTGATTTATCAAAATGCACATGTTTCGAAATTGATAGAAGTATTTCCAGTATAAGCACAGAACTATTTCATTTATCTCTTAAATATAAAAATTTGGTTAGCGTTCCAATCAAATGTGCCATATTGGAAATCACTGTTGGTCAATATCCTGGTTTGGGCGGAATACCTGAAGAATTAATTTCATATATTATGACAAAACTAAACACCTCTGATTTGTATGCGTTGATGAGATGCTGTAAAAAAATTTATCATTCAGTGATAAGCAATCAATTTTTATGGAAAACATTAGCCATTGAGAATCATAAAAAGGCAAAACTATCAACTGATTTAATACAACAACCAATTATGGATTGGAGAATTGTGTATTATGAAGTTAATAGAATAAAATCTGGTAGAAGAACAAATACAATAATAAGAGAGTGATGTATATTATCACCAATATTAACACCAATCAAGATTTTAAAATTAATTGTACAATTAATTAAAAATATTAAATTATATATTATTTTTATAAAATTAGGATTAGTTATTTGCTAGTAAATAAATATCTTCCTGTTATTCAATAATTATGAGGTATTTTATACAATCTCAGATATTTATTAACAATAAAAATGATTAATAAGTTTGCATTTTACATAATATTTTATTTTCAAGTACCTACCTTATAGAAAAACCACATACATATTGTGTAAACTGTATACAAGTACAAATGAATTACATAATATATAAGCTGTACATTTAATTAACTAATTATGAGTATTTTATTTTTGATAACAAASACCTTTCAACTCTAAAAAGTAACAAACATTTAAAACAATAATTATAATAAAATATAATTAAAAGTTAAGTATTAAATATTTGACACATTAGTATTAATTTTTATGAATAACAAAAAGAGGAATTGAAGTTAATTTGCAACATGTAACAACAAAGTGGTTGATTTTTACCATAATTTCTGAGAGACAGCAGTGTTAAGGAACTGTGTAATGCAAGAAACAAAGGGATTTTTTTTAAAAATAATTTAGATGGTAATACACAAAAGTACTGTTGTAAAATGTATTCAATTATTAATAAAAGTGAGCGCCRCGGTCAACTAAAGAAACCAAACTTATATTTACCAAAATAGGTGCCATTAGTATATTAGTAATATATTTTAATTAAATAGTTGGCAAATGTTAGGAATCTTTCTATACTCTGTCGACTGTCATAAAAGTTAAAAGAATAATCAGTCTGGCCAGCCAATTGTATTTAGTGCTGATTAACTCCCACCAACTACACAGTGTTAATGTAATAMTTGGTTTTTTATGTTCCAATCGCATCATTCACTATGCCCACACAATGATTTTTCAAAAAAGACTGACTGAAAATTATTTGTGCTCTAGCTATCAAACTATACTTTATTATAAGCTTRACAAATTTGCTTGATTCAAATGTGTTGAAAACCTCAAGTTACTTGGAACTCCCTTACTAAAATCTTAAGTTTTAAGAGCCTTGCAGTATGCACTTGACTTATAAATCATAAGAAAGTGTAAGAATAAGGATGATACCTAATTCATCAACCGAACCATTAATAGATAAAAATATAAACTACGAAATACTTTCATATCATTGATTGTCAATACTAGGTGTTTATATTATTAATAAATAAAGAAAAATAAGGACTAACTAAGATATGTTGTATTATATATTTGTTCAGTATAACCATAAAGATCACAGGGAACAAAACCATTAAAAATTTCACTGCATTTTAATTTGTTCATAAATTAAGTACAGTATTTTTATAAATATTATAATATGTTACAAAACACAATTTTATGGCTTCAAGGTAATTTAGCATTAACAACACTTCCCATTCCTGGAGTAAGATTTTCTTTCTTTTTTTTGTTATATCACATGTATCTAACTAAATTTGTGCACATAATAACTATGAAAGTAATGTGAAATTGAAGTAACTTATGCGTTTTGTCGTGTATATTGATAAATATAATTCATAATTGTAATTTCAGGTGTAATATAAATAAATAAAAAGTAAATAGATGTGTCTTTTTGTTAAAATGTTTTGTTAGGTACCTGCAATTTTTATACTTACATTATATCTTCAAATAATGATGTAAACACCGAGTTTTTGGTGTATTTGACCATCTATGGCAGTGGTTCTCAACGGGTGTGCCGAGAGATCGACAGATGTGCCGCGAGAAGTTTCTGATGTTTGTAATTTTATTATGCTGGTAAAAATATTGAAAACAGTAATTTATTTCATTACATTTGTGTTGAGTGTGTGTAGTGTCGCGAAAATTTGTGAAGTACTGATGTATAATGATGTGCCGTGAACAAAAACAGCTTGAGAACCACTGATATATGGTGATATACTTATGTGTGGCAGTTATCACCAATTTTAGAGACAGATACCTTATTAAGGTTCCTACTTAATAAGTTCCATGCCTCCTACCCTTTATAGTTTAATTAATTTAGTATAATAAGGGTGGTGGTTGTATAAGGTGTGATCACTGATGACTACTATTCAATTTTTATTGCCATGTTAAAAAATTATTGTATCTAACTATGATTTTAGATAAATTTTATTACTGTGTTTAGTGTTAAGTATTGACGTGCAAGTATGTCTCACTTGATTCTTACTAAATATATTAAAATAGCAAGGTCTGGTACGCATAACGCTTACTCCTCTAACTATCAGTATTCAGTTTAATGTTTTT